AAAAGGACCTTGTATCTGGCTTCCCACATGAATGGTGGGTTTTGCCTTGATGGGACCTTTCTGGAATTGGTTGCATTTGTGTTCTAGAAAGAGCTTACCTTTGGAGCCAGATAAACATGGGGTTTGAACCCAACTTCACCATGTATGTGTTGGAAAGTCTTGAGTCATTCATGTACTACCTTGAAGGCCCTCATTTCTTAATATCTACAACATAGGAATCATAGTTACTTTAGTAACATAGCAAGATTAGTGGGAGAGTTCAACTATCTACGTTGTAATGAATACAAAACATTTAGTCCAGTGGATGGTACATAATGAGCACGCAATACTCATTTTGTTAAAAGAATAATAATGATTATTTTATAATGATAGCACAGAGACAGGAATGTTTAAGATTATGGACCAGAGGATGGTAATTGAAATCTTGTGCATGGATAATGTCACAGTAGATATAGGGTGCGTGAGTAATAGATGGGTTGCTTTTGGCTCATTCCATATCCGTAGTTTTTGCCCTTCCATGTGACAGCCCTTTGAATATATTATAACTTTGAAGATTTTAGTTCCATTTATTATTCATAACACCATGTAGTGACTGTTGTCCTCTGCCACATCAAGCCATATCTAGGGTATATGAATCAGTACAAGACCTTACATTTCATAAAAATGGTGGTCCATCCCCCGCTCTGCCTCATTTTTGCTACTAAGTTTTGGTTTCTTTATCTGGGAGAATAATGGCACTCTGCACTGTCGAGGTGAAAATGAAATGAGTAATCTATGTGAGAACACCCAGCGTAATGCCTCTTGTATAACAAGCTCTCAGCCAGCATTGATAGCCGTCATTTCCTATGCTGTCTTCATGCAGCTGGCACCTCATCATTATTTTGGGCAACTACATCTCAGTGTTAACTCACATTGAGTTTGCTGTATATTAAATCTCATGTCTTTTTAACATCTGAATTCTGTCTCATCCTGTAAAGGAAGTAATTTTCAACTGCTGTGCCACAAGAATTTTTAAAACATGCACTACCTGACTATTTAGTCAGGGACACTGATCACTTTTCCCTTAAATTGTCAAATTAAAAAAAAAAAAAAGACAGCCGTCAACACAACAATTTGTCCTGTGTGAATGTCCTGTCTTGAATCATAAATGTCATGTAATAGACTTGGATTTTATTTGTCACATCACATAATAAGATTGCATCTGATTGGTTAATTCTTGGTACCAGAAATCCTCATATACACGTATAGGCACCTGTTTTTTTTTAAGAACATGATCTCACTCGTATGTGGAATACATATCTATCAATAATTACTTTAAGTGCAAATGGTTTAAATGCTGAACCAAAAGACATATGGAGGTGGAATGGATAACAAAACAAGATCCATACATATGCTGTCTACAAGAGACTCGCTTCAGATTGAAAGATACACATGGGAATGAAAAAAGATATTTCATAAAAATGGAAATGGGGGGGGGGGGAGGAAGCTGAGTAGCAATACTTAGAGCAGACAAAGTAGGCTTTAAAACAAAGGCTGTAACAAGAGACAAAAAAGGACCCAGCAATTCCACTTCTGTGTATTTATCTGAAGAAACTCAAAACACTAAGTCAAAAAGACATATACATCCATATATTTATTGCAGCATTACTTACAATAACCAAGATATAAAAGCAGTGTTCATAAATGGATAAAGAAGTGGTGCATATATATAATGGAATATAATCCAGCCATCAAAATAAAATAGTGAAATGTTGTCATCTGCAACTACATGAACGGATCTAGAAGGCTTTGTGCTTAGTGAAATAAGACAGAGAATACCATTTGATTTCATTTATATGTGAAATCTAAAAAACAAAATAAACAATCAAGCAGACAGAGCATTTTGACGGTGTGCCAGATGGGAGGGGCTTGGAGAATGAGTGAAAAAGATGAAGAAATTAAGAAGTACAAACTGGTAGTTACAGAATAGTCATGGGGATATAAAATACTACATAGGGGATATAGTCAACAAGGTTGTAATAATTATATATGGTGTCAGATGGGTACTAGATTTATCATGGTGATTACAGTAGGTGATATACATGTCTAATCACTGGGTTGTACACCTAAAATTAATATAATATTGTATGTCAACTATTATTGAAAAATAAAAAATATTATTTAAAAATTATCTAATTCTTATTGCTCGTATACAGAAATGCTGCCAATTACTTGGCTCCTTTTTTAAAATATATATATATTTCCAACTCTAAAGGATCTGTAGATGTGTCAATGGGCACTCAATAAATTAGCTATTCAGGGCTGATGTTCATTGGTGTACAATATCATGGCTTACTGGTTACTAAAATATTGAAACATTTCTCCAGTGGAACCCCTTTCTTTCCTTCTGGTACCTTGGCCATCCTGGACTTTCCCTCCAGACTGACCCATACCTCCCAGTTCCAGTCACTAGTAATGAGGTTTAATATCTTTTCTTATGTTTATAGGACATCCATGTCGCATCTTTTATACAAGTATTGTTTTTGTCTTTGCCAAAATTTTTTGTTGGAATGTTTTTTTTCTTATGAATGTATAGGCATTTATTATAATTTTAGAAGCTCTTTTGTTGGTTTTATGCATTGCAATATGTTTTCACTCTCTTTTGTACTTCTACACCCAACTCAGCTGGGGCCTTAAGCCCTGTTCCACTGGAAAGGTAGGTATCTGTTGTGTTTGTTCTATTCCCATCCATGTGAATTATTAAATATTTTTAATATTATTTCTTATGCTTGTATACCAAATCTAACATAAACACCAAGGGTAAGCTATTAATCCAAGTGGTTTCTTTTTTAAATTATTTTTATTGATTTCCTAGAGGAAGGGAGAAAGAGATAGAAGGGAGAAAGAGAATCATTGATCAGCTGCCTCCTGCTCACTTCCTACTGAGTGTGTGTTCTTGACTGGAATCGAATTTGGGCCCTTCAGTCCACAGGCTGATGCTCCGTCCACTGAGCCAAACCAGCTAGGGCTCCAAGTGGTTTCTTACCCAGAGGTGCAGAGAGCTCAGAAGGAGGTGATCAGCTCTGGGGTTCCCGGAGGAAGCAGGAGATCTGAGCTGTAACTAGGGGATTCTAGCTAGCACCCATCTCTGATAATTCCTGCCCAAACCCCTGCAGCTTCACCAAGTCTACTCCTCCCCTTGGAGTTCCCACAGGCACTTCCACCACACATGTTTCAAGCTGAACACATCATCTTTAAATGCTAAATCTGTTCCCCTCCTGACTTCCCTCATTGGTGGAAGAGTGTCTCCAACCATCTCCCTTATAGTAGAAAATTCAGCATTATCTGAGACTCCGACTTATCCTCATTTCCTCTCTATTATTGCTCACCAAGATCAGTCATTTCTATGCCATAAAAACAAAACAAAAAAAAAACAACCTCTTGCTGAAACCGGTTTGGCTCAGTGGTAGAGCGTCAGTCTGCGGACTGAAGGGTCCCAGGTTCGATTCCGGTTAAGGGCATGTACTTGAGTTGCGGGCACATCCCCAGTGGGGGGTGTGGAGGAGGCAGCTGGTTGATGTTTCTCTCTCATCGACGTTTCTAGCTCTCTATCTCTCTCCCTTCCTCTCCGTAAAAAAAAATCAATATGATATATTAAAAAAAATTTTTTTAATTAAAAATTTTTAAAAAACCTCTTGAATATGACCTCTTCCCCATCCCAATTACTGCTGTCTCCTAAATTTTTGAGTAGTTTCCTAGCCTGTCTCTTGACCTTTAGCCTCGTTTGCTCCCCCAGTCCCTCCCCCACACTGATACCAGCATTAGCAGTCCCACCTGGCCCATTAGCCTGCTGTTTATTCATCGATGGAAGGGAGTGTGTGGGAGCCATCTGCCTTGGCATGGAGGAGGGTGAGAATGGAGCTAATACAAAGCAGACTGATTTCGAGTTGGTTTTATTATTGCATTGAAGTTCTCTCTAGACAAGTCATTCCTTTTGCCTACACCTGGCCCACCACTGTTCCCACCCCCGTTCTCATCGGTGTGCTGCTGTAGATAATATGGCCTGTCTCACGGAGCTGCCATGAAGGTCAATGCAACAGTGCTTACTGAGAACTTAGCCCAGGCCCTTGCACAGGGTGAGCACTTAGTTAATGTAAATGATGATTAGTAAAAACATTACTTTTGGTTCCTTATCCCCTATAATCATATAGGGCCTATATGATTCCTTGTTTGGGCAGGCAAAGCCTTTTTGGCCTCAGATACTCCCTTCCGCCCTCCTGCACCCTATACTCTAGCAAAACTGTTTATTCTGCCTTCACCAAAGCAAGTTCTTCCGTGTTTCCATGCCTTTGCAGATGCCGTTTACTCTGCCTGGATGTCTTCCCTCTTCTCTGCAGATTCATCATCTAAGATCCAGGTCACAGCCCGGCTTTCTGTGACGCCTTCCTCAAGTTATCCAGACAAAAGGAATCCCCCCTCCCTCCCGCGAGCCCACGGCTCCCCGCTCATTTCTCCTCTGTGAAGCCTGCCTGGACTGGAGCTCCCAGAAGGGAGAGTCTGTATGTGCTCATCAACCTTGTATCCAGTCACCAAAACCGGTGAGCCCATATTCCCGGCTCAGTATGGACAGGGGTTTCGCTTGTTTGCTTTGTTAGAAGGAATGAATGTGAATGGTTTTGACTTCATCCTAGACCTCCTAGCAAAAAGTTTGGGTCGCTACAGTTTTGGGTCATTTTGTATAACCAGCTATTGGACTCTTCTTTCCCATGCCACCAAGAGAAATATTCCCAAGTAGGATACCCGGCTTCTCTCTATCCACGGAGCCAAACCGGTTTCGGCAGGTACCTGTCTTCTTAAGGAATGGAGCTCAGGCCCTAAGGAAAAAGCCCTTTTTACTAGTAAAAGTAGGGAGGGTGATGAGCAGGTCAGCTATGCCTTCGCAGCTGCCCCTGAGAGGGCGCTGTTCCCACAGTAACCTCCCCAGGCCTGGCCTGAAATCCCAGCGCCTTCCCACAGGACTCAGCAGCATCCCCGGCTTCCCAGGCAGCAGCCAGCGGGTCCCCAGCGGAGCATCATCTGCCCACAAACATGGCTGCGCCCTGCTCAGCTTCTCCTGGCCGCCGAGGCCCGCAGGCCGGGCTGGCCTTGCCAGTACTCGGGGACTTCCTCCCGGATCCCGCTTCCTGCACCGCTGGCATTTAAACCGGCGCCTGGGGCTGCGGACGCCGAGCTGGCCGCGGGCTGGTGCACCCACCGCCCCATCTCTCTGAGCGACCTGGCTGGGCAGGAGCGGAGCCGGAGCATCCCCTTAGCTGTGCCCGGGTCCGAGCTGGAGCGGTCTGGGAGGGAGAGACCCCGGACCCCGGCATCTGGCAGTTCAATTACAGGTTTGACTTTTTAATTTCCAAGATCGCGACCCTCGCGCCCAGCCCCGATCCTTCTTCCTGCCCTCCGGCCTGGGTTGCTGGATGAAGCTGGGGCTGGGCTTGGTCCCAGGAGCTTGGAAAGCGCTCGTTCTCCGCCTCGCAGCGGCATTGCTCCGGGGACCTCCGAGCCGCGCGCCCCGGGCATGGTGCAGCTGAGCCCCGCGCTCGGGTGAGGCGGAGGCGGCGCAGTTCCGAGCCCAGCGGGCCCGCCCTGCGTGGCATCCCCCCTTCCACCCCGCCTCCCGAGGAGCCAAGGGCAGCGGACTCGGGGCTCCGCGCCCTCCTGCTGGGCTGCGCGCAGGGGGCCAGCAGCCGCCGCGATGTTCAGCTGGCTGAGCACCGACGACCGGCGGAGGAAGGACCCCGAGGTCTTCCAGACGGTGAGCGAGGGGCTCAAGAAACTCTACAAGAGCAAGCTGCTGCCCCTGGAAGAGCATTACCGCTTCCACGAGTTTCACTCGCCCGCCCTGGAGGATGCCGACTTTGACAACAAGCCCATGGTCTTACTGGTGGGCCAGTACTCCACTGGGAAGACCACTTTCATCAGGTGAGCCAGTCCAGGGTCCCCCAGGCCCCCACCCCCCATCCCGGGCAGCCCCACCCTGCCTCCCAGAGCTTAAGCCTTCCATTCACTCCTGGTGCCATCTCCCCCTCCCTCCGCCTCCCCCAGGCTGGGCACCGTCTTCTCTCAGAAACTCTGAAGAAATCTTTGCATGTTCATGTGTCCAAAGCTTACCCCACCATTTCACTGCTGGTCCCCCACCCCATCCTACCGAATGCCTCTCCACTGAGCGTAGAGCCTTGGCTCAAGTGGTCAGTTTGAAAGGTTGAAAAATCAGAGCCATCCTAGTCTCCCCATTTTATGGACGGTGAAACCAAGGCCCAGGAGGCACGAGTGGGAAATCCCTTATCCCAAGAGTCCCGTGTGGGAATATCTTACACCCTCACGTTTTAGGGACATGCCCTTTAGGGCCACTTCCGTTTCCCTTGCCTTGCAAAGGCTTCAGCCACTCACATGGGGGCTTCACAGTTACAGCTGAAGAGGTGGGCTGGGGACCCTGCGAGTGGCTCCCCTGCCTGGCAGTGCCTCTTGTCCTTTTATCATTTTCCTCCGTGGAGCAGAGCTCCGACATGTTATCTCCTGGAGACTGGACAGAAGCAGTATTGGAAAGAGCATGTTGTTTTTAAAAAATCTTTTCCCTTGTTTGATGGTAATGGCTCAGTAATAATATTGAAGTCTTTTAGAGGTGGAAGGGATATTGTTGATTGTCTCATCCAGCTTAACAGGTGAGATAACTAAGGCATGGAGAGGTTAGCTGCACGGCCCAGCGTCATCTCACTGTGGGGGGAGGCCAACGTGGGATGCTGCCCTTGACCCTTGGAAGTAGATGCTGGGCTAAATGCCTGTGACTTTGAGGATGAGTCATCCATTCCCTTGAATTACAGAGTCCTTGGGCTGGAGAGATCCTCCAGAAGTCAACATGTCCACCCTACATTCAGAGAGGTCTGCATATGGGCCGCTAGAGGAATGAGACTCCCTCTTATCTCTAGACGACAGGCTTCTCTCCAGTCCTCAGGCCACACAGCCTTCAAGGCCAGCCATTTCCCTTGTCCTCATCTACAGCCCTGGCCAAGCTCTTGGTGCTTAGGGTGCTCTATGGTGAGAGGCAGGCTCCTACAGCGTAGCAATGGGTTCCGCGGCCTCCAAAAGTCAACAGTATTCATCTCTTGCAGGCTTGAAAGCGGGTTGCTCTTGTTTCCATTCCTTGACTGAGCACCTGCAACCCTCACTACCAGTCTTTGATTGGCAAAGAAAAGCAGCAACGGGAACAGTCTGGTTTCTGATTTTCTGTATACAAATGTTCTCTTCACAGTAGACTTTCATAACACACGCTTTCTGCAAGTTGCGCATGCCCCACCCTAACATGTTGTGTCTGAATAAACCAGCAGATCAAGTTCGTCCTTGGGGAGGCGGATAGCCTTGGACTCAGCAGCTTGGAGAGACTGAGTGATTTCTGAACAAGTTTGGTACCCGAGTGGGGGAGTGGGGCCAGTTGGCTTTCGGATCTCTTATGCTGTTGGAACTACAAGGACCCTTCGCTATGAATTGAATCCATTGCTTCTTAACTTTTTTTTTTTTTTTTTTAAAGTTAGTTCCTCCTTTGAAAATCTGATGGAAGCTGGACTTATCTTTAGAAGAAAATGCACATACATCACAAATTTATATGTAATCTGTGGGCCCGAGGACCACCATGGACTTTTGGTGAGGGCTCTGATCTAACCCATCTCCTTGACTTTGTTAAATGCCCGTTGCTGCCAAGCACACTCTAGAAATACCTGGGTTCTGTGCATGATTCCTTTGTAACCTGTGTCCTTTCTCTGGCCTGTATTATACCCCCACGGGAAGTCCTGGCCATTTACAGATGGCGCCTGCCTCTGCAGAGCTTTCTCTGGCCCGCTGGACACCCCTTGGTTCTTTCGAGCTTCTCTTTCCTGTGACAGCAGCACATACAATGGTGCCTCAGCTCCTGGGGCCTCGCCTGGGGTCTCAGCCACAGGAGGTTCCCAGTATCCATTTGCAGAATGGGAGGGAACGTGGGGAAAAGCCAGGTGTCCCTAGGGTGCTGGATCTCCAAGCAGCAGGCAGGTGTAAGTGCCTCTGTCTGAGACTCTCTCCTGGTTTCGCCTGAGTCATGCTGGCTGTTAACCGGGTCTAGGAAAGTGGCCGGGTCAAGCCGCCATAGATTATTCGTTATCTGAGGGAAACAGGAAAGCCGGGAGGGGCAGATCCCTCCTCTTGCTTATCCTCCGAGTACAAGAGTTCTCTCTCCCCACTCATGTCAGTAACTGAATTTAGCTCAGGCATCAAAAGCCGCCTCCCCGTGAAGGAGAGTGGGCCAGCAGGGTAGGAGGGCTTGCAGCACACGGACACCTTCCCCAACCAAATTGCATGTTTTCCTGCCTTGTCATTAAATCCACTGAACAAGTTATTTTCTTTAAATTGGAAAATGCAGAAAATGAATGTACGGAAGAAGAAAGATCACCCATAATCCCACAACTCAAGGGAAACCATTTTAAATATCATTCACATGTATATCAATATACGCATATTTCCAGTATGGTTAGCTATTTTATCACCTGGTTAAGATCATCCGTAATGTAATTTTGTACGCTGAGTTGCTTCGCTTCCAGCACGAGCATTTCTCATGTAAGTTTGAAAATCTTTGTGAGCATTCTTTATAAGAGCCTCCTGCTATTTCGCTGTATGTATATGCAATTATTCACCACACCAGTCTACTCCTTTTGAATGCTTTAGGATGTTTCAGACTTTTCTGCTGTGGCAGTATCACTCTGAATATCTTTGTGGATAGTGTTTTTCCACATACTGACTGTGTTCTCAGAGATTCCCAGAAGCGAAATCACTAGGCCGAAGGTTATGCAGGGTTGTTTCTGTTTATTTACTTATTCTTTTACGTTTAATTTCGGTGGTCAGGGTCCTATTTCTGAATTGCTCTCCAAGAGGGTAAGTTGGTACAGCACCCCTCTCCCAGGCTGCACTGGGGTAGGATGGTCCGAGGGGCGTAGATTCTCAGGGTGTCCCAGCCTCTCAGTCCTCCCTATCCCTGCTTCCTGCCTGGGACACCAGGCTTCTCCCCTCCATCCCAGGCTGAGCCTGTGAGGGGCCTTTCTCTCCGGAATAGAGACTTGCCTCTTCATTCCCAGCCCTGGGCCTTTGCCGCCGGAGTGCCCACCCACTTTCAGTTATATGTACTTGCCGCGGGGTTTATTTCTTTTCTCAGGAAGAACACACAGAAAAGGGCATTCTTTTAATAACTAATTAATGTGCTATGATCTCTGCCTGAAATAACTTCTCTGGCCTAAGGCCCAGCAACCCAGAGTAATAAAATAAACAATAAATTGGCCTGGTGGCTGTTCCCTCCAACACAGGCTGCCTCCTCGGAGTACAGTAGCTCTGTGTCCCTCGGGCCTGGCAGCCTTTCCCTGCCTCTGCTGTTTTTCTCCCTTCACTCTTCCTTCCCCTGGCAGGCAGCCTCCAATCCCTCCTCCTGTGCCCCATTTGGCCCCCTGGTCACAGAGGTGACTAGCCGGCTGGCCCAAGGGCTGCGGAAACCCAGCGCTCTCAGGGGCCATAAGGGGGGCCAAACAGAGGACTGGGGGGAAGGGAGGTCAGACCTGGGGCTGCCAGAACCAAGCTGCCTGTGTCTGCACAGGGAGGTCTGGGCTGACCTCAGGGCCCGGGTGGCCATTCTATGGCATGACTTGGCCTCTGAAGGCTGAGCACACAGTGGGAGCTGCTACTAGCTGACCCTTTCAACCTCTCCCACTTCTTCAGGGGGATGTTTGAATCCTCCCCCAAAGTGACTCAGCTTTACCTGTGGCTGCTTCATCCCCACCACCTAGGCCTCACCTAGTACATTACAGCATCACCATCCCATCCCCTTCCAGGTAGACCCACTGACCGCCGCCAGGTCTATCCCACCAGGCACAGTCCCTGCAACACCTCTGTCCTGTCCAGCCTGCACTCAGTGGGCATCCTTTTTCTGTCAGGGCTCGGATCTGCCCGGCCCTAAGTGAGGCTGGGTCCCCCTGTCCCAGGGCCAGCTTAAGATCCCGCGTGGAAGTCAGGTGTGTGGAGGGCATCAGGAGCAGTGCCGCCTGGGAGGAGAAGGGCCCTGGAGAAAGGGCTCTGCCCCATCAGCCTTGGCAATGAGGCCAGGCCATGGATAGAATATGGCCTGCTGCTCAGCAGGATCCGGGCTCCAGCGGACACCAACAAGAGAGCTTGTTAGCAAGGAGCTATCCCTCCTGCTGCCTCACCTCTATCCTCTGAATAGTAACAACCGCCTCCGAGGGTTCCTCGGGATTAGAAGGGGAAGGGACCCAGGTAGCTCCAGTGCCTTTGCAGGCACTCTGCTTGGGGCTTGATCATCCCCTCTCCTCTTTCTAGCAGATTCTCTAACCAGAGGCTTCGAGGCTGGCCCTCAGGAGGTGGGGGAAGCCCTTAGGGGCCCCTCCCACAGCCAGGATGATGGAACTGGATCGTGTGTTGGGAGAGCTGGAAGAGGGGCCTGAGCCACAGGGCTGGGGAGTGGGTGGGCGAGGGGAGGGGGGCAGGAGGCTTGGCAGTGTGGCCACCCGTCTTGGTGCTGGGGTCGCCTCATTTGGTGGCAGAGCTGCTGTGCCCCAGGGACAGTGGTGGCTGCTCTGCTCTGAGGAGCACACAGCTGACTCAGACCTCAACCGCACCATCAGGGGTCTCCCCCACCTACTCCCTCATTTTGTGTCTCTGGATTGCTTTACCGTCTCCCTAAAACCCGCTGAGACTGACAGGGCAAGTATGATTGTTGGGGCTCCGTTTAATTTTATCCTTTGTTTTAATTTTTTTTAAAAAAATCTTTAAGAGTAAAATGTTTGAGAGTTTTACAGATGTTCCCTCTTTTTCCCCCTCCTTGCCCACTCCACCGGTTTCCCACCCAATCCCAGGCCTTCACCACCCTATTGTCTGTGTCCACAGATAAGATAGACCAAAGACTCAGGTCTATAACATAAATACCTATGATACAAGGCAGGAAGTGACATGTGCCTTTCGAGTCTACTCAAGATATGCAAATTAAGAGCTTTGTGGTTTTTCTGGAAAGATTGTAAGTCAGGTTTGGGATGACAGAATGAATCCATTTAGGCCTCAGTGGGGCCGCTGCGGGACTGGATTTGGAGACTCTGTAGAAATGCGCTGAGTACTTACAGGCAACAATGAGGTGTTTGTATCCTCTAATTATTGTCTCTTCCCCTATGAGCAAATGTCTGGTGTAACCTTTGTTTTTCCCCAAGCTCATGGATGTCCTATCAAAACCTTCAGGCTGTTCCTATGGCTAGTTAGAAACCAAGGTTTATCCCCTTCTTATAAACAGGAGACACTGAGCCACTGGGCTGCGGGGTGATATGTCCAAGGTCCTATCTGTGATGGAGGAGCCACCCAGCAAGGTGCGTTCTGGGCTGAGCCGAGGCAGAGGGCCCAGCCCCGGCAGCATGTTTGTGGAGCCCGCCCCTCTGTACCCTGCCCGTCCCAGCAGCAGCCGAGGCCTGGCCCACTGCTGCGGAGAGCGGTACTTTGGAAGCAGACTAAGTTAAGAGTCTTGGCTCCATGCCTTTCCCTGGGTGCTTAGGTCACCACTAAAGCAGACTGCATGCTTTAGACTGCCAGGCAAGCAGGACACACACACACACACAAATGAGGAAAATGCCATGAAATAATTTACTGAAGAAAAATGTACAACAAAGTAGTTCTCACAGAAAAAAAAAAAATCAGCCTTGTGTAGGACTTCCATACAACTATTTTGTGGTTTTAGTACTTATGTGCTTTTCATCAGATGGCAGGGGATGGCGTGGTGGGGGGCACAATGAACCAAAATCTTAGCTCTTAACATCGCTAACTATTTCCACTTGGCCATGAACTTGGACAACGAATATCTCAATTTACTCCACTGCAAAACTGAAATAATGCTGCCATCCCACAGTGTGCGTAGGATCGATTCCGTGGAATAATGTGGGGAAAGGTCCCGGAACAGCACCTGCCGCTCCGCAGCCCCTCCTTGCCCTTGCACATCCTGGCCTCGGCCGTTCCCACCCAGGCTTGCATTCACTTGGCTTTGTGTCTGCTGCCGTGGGAATGGTTGCGTTGCGCCTGGCAACAGAGGCGATCTGTATCACTTCCCACAGAGCAGCAGTGAGGAGATCCCTCAATAGGTTGTCCTTTCCCGACACAGTGCAGGCTTTGTGAAGGGGGCACTCGTGCTGCAAGCCATACCCAAATGTCCCTGAGAATTAACCCAGCTCTGGGTCTCTGCCCGGCCCCCCTGTGTCCCTGGACGTGCTGCTGGCTTTTCTGGACTCTGTGTTCCTCCAGGCCCACGTGTGGTCAGCAAGTTTAGGCTCCTGTGGGCTTTGCCACAGGGCAGGACAGCCGGCCCAGCCTCCAGGCCCTTGCTCAGACAGACCCAGGCTAGGGCTCCGGCACATCCCAGGGAAGTGGCCCTGTCATGCTGGGAAGTCGCCCTTTGATCATCTGATCTCACAGCATGTCTCTCAGGGATGGAATCTGAGACGCCTGGGTCAGCAGGATACTCCATCACTGCCATTTGGCCCTGTTCGGTCTGAGCGTTCTCAAAGCTGCCTCTGAGTGGCTTCTCCCCACTTCTGTCTCTGTCAGCTTCCCTCAAGCCTTTGGTCATATCCACCAGCCCCTCCTACCTCAGAACTCACACTTAGGGCTTCTCACCCACGTGCTCACGGGGCAGGGGCTCCTGGCACACAGACAGAATGGATGGGGTCCCCCTGGCATGGTGTTGGTTCTCATGAAATGTCTTCGCAGGGAAATCTGGCTTTACTATTTTTAAGTCCCAAGAATGTCCTTTGAGAGCTAGGGGGCCTGGGCCTACTCTGGTCACTTGATAGCAACAGCTTTTGCATATCATGCATCACCCACTGAGGCTTCACTGAGGACCCCTAGGACAGGCATGTATAGATAAGAGTACATTCCTGGGTTTGTAGGACCCAGAGCCTACCTTTCTTCCAAAGCTTGGGCCCTGGACAGCCTCCTGCCAAGGCGTATTTCTTCGTGACCTTCTTGTACCATTCCGCATTCTAGTCCCATGTGGGGCTCAGCCATTTCATATTTCCTGGTCAAGAGGAGACCTACGGTGGGAAAGGAGATAGTCAAGGTAGTGGTTAGGAACGTAAATTCTCACATCCAAGTGACAGGTTCAAATCCTAGCTCAGCTATGTATCGATTGCATGACCTGAGGCAAATTGTCTAACCTTGTCTCCCCCTCTTTAACCTGGGATGATAAATCTGGGTGCCAGGCACTGGGTTAGGTGCTGAAGGGCTGTAACTAGTTTAACCCTCGGAACACCCTAAGAGGTGGGCTTTCTTATTAGGCCTACTTGACAGTAAGGATCATAGTACTCACCTCAGAGTGGATATAAAGATGAAATGAGATAATCCATAGAAAAATCTAGAACAGGGCTTGGCACATCACAGGTGCTTGATAAATTAGAACTATTACCTCCCGTGTGATAGAGGAAGGCACTGAAGTTCATAGAGGCCCAGTGCCTTCTGAAAGGCATAGCTCTCCTAGTTAAAAACCAGGCCTGCTGGCCCCAGGCTGCTGAGATTCCCTGCCTCTCCTGCGAGGGCCTGAAGGAGGAGGCAGGAAGTGCTCTCCAAGCACTGCAGCTGTTGAACGTCTCCTCATTCATAGCCCCAGTGCCAGGTTTCACAATGATCCTCTGATGGAGGAAATCCTGCTTCACACCCAGATTGTCGGTCTGGGATGCTGGAGGTAGATGAAGGGCTTCCCCAGGCCACCTAAACCCTCCGGTGTGTGCAGGAAGGGTGGGGGGGGAGTGGAAGGGGAGCCTTCTTGGCACCAGCTTCTCTATTGGATCCCTGGAGATGACCCATAGCAACTGGCTTAAACTGCCTGAACCACAGAGTCATATAATATTATAGTTCCAAACCCTTCTCGGAGGCACAGGCAGGAGACCCAGGAGCTGGAACAAACCCCAGCACCACCACCCTGTGAGCAGAGCAGGACCGCTGCTGCAGGCCCACCTAGGGGAGGCATTGGATGGGCAGAGCACTTGGGCCCTGGAGACACGGCCTCTGGTCCCAGCTCTGCCCTGACCTTCGCTGGGGCCTGGGTCAGCTCTCTCTGCAGTGACTTCCTCAGGGTAGAAGGCAGTTGAAGAGCAAAGGATTTGGTTTTAGATTGATTTCGGTCTGTGTTTCAGCTCTTACTATTAGCTGTTTAACTTGGAAAAAGTCACATACCCCTCCCAGGCCTCTGTTTCTTCAATCCCTACCTAGAGGGCTGCAGTGAGACCCGAAGGACATAATGTTCCCCGAATAATTGGTGTGATGCCTGGCATGGAATGCTATGGAGTGTCAGTGGTCTTATCAGTGAAATGGGAGTGCTGTCAACCCCAGCTGCACATTAGGGTCACCTGAGGAGCTCCTACCAAGCACCCAGTGGCCAGAGCCCCGCCTCTAAATGATTGGGTCAGAACCTCCGGGGGTGGGGACCAGGCATCTTAGCCAGAGCTCCGAGGTAGCTCGGCTGTGAAGCTGGGGTGAAGACCACTGGTCCAGGAGGTCTCCATGTTCCCCTCCCAACTAACAGTCTCTGATTCGACCGCTCTTCTCTTGGGGGCCCTCAAAGTTCAGGAGGTTCTCGGCACAGAGAGGGCTCACCCCAGAGTCTGTGTTTGTTGGTCAGTACACCCTTAGCTCCTCATCCATCATGGTCCTGAGACTCTCCTCTGCTCAATCCCAACCGGAGGCAGTTCTGGGCTCCTCCCCTCATGCTATTTGGACCCAAAGCTGTTCTGAGCTTCTTCTAAAGGACTCAGTTGTCCTTAGGAGCTATTCTCTTTGTTCTCTGGCTCATGATGTGCCTTTGCTTTTGACTTCTAAAGGGGGCTGTGCAGAAGGGCATGGCCTTGGGCTGTCACTTTCCTGGCCAGGAGAAGAGCAAAGAAAGGGATCTGGCACCTAGAGAGTAGACCAGAAGTCTAGAGCGGTTAGAGATCCACTTATCATAATGTAGCTATCACACTGGTTATATTTTTTTTTTTAAAAACTGATTTCAGAGAGGAAAGGAGAAGGAGAGAGAAATAGAAGCATCAATGATGAGAGTCATTGATTGGCTGCCTCCTGCATGCCCTCCACCGGGGATTGAGCCCACAACCTGGTCATGTGCCCTGAATCAGGAATTGAACAGCAACCTCCTGGTTCATAGGTTGATGCTCTACCGGTGGGCCACACGGTCAGGTACACTAGCTGTATTTTTGTCTCATATACGAGCTAGTTTTCTATTAAAGGACTTGACTAGCCAGATAAATAAATAATGACCTGTGGAAAGCTGGCAGAGCCCATGGATGCTCTAATTCTAACCAAGTCTTTATGCAGATCCGTCAGCAGTTGTAAAGTCTGCGATACTCTGTGCCGCAATCACTGTCAATCCGCGTTTCAGCCCTGAGCTCAAACCTTGCATTTTCCCCCCTACTGATTCAGGGAGAGGAAAAGATAAGAACTAAGAAGAACAGATTTTGTATTTTAAGTTCAGTTGTAATCCCACCTTCTCCACCACGTCTTTGAAACGCTGCCCGGCAGTCCTCTCTCCCTGCCGAAAAATCCCATGGTTCTGCCCTTCTGTCCTGCCTCGTGGTAGAAGCTCCGTATTGATCTCCCAGCAGAATCCCTGTTTTATGACTGTGCTCCCTCTGCCAGGTACCTGCTGGAACAGGATTTTCCAGGCATGAGGATTGGGCCGGAGCCGACCACCGACTCCTTCATTGCAGTGATGCATGGTGAGATGGACGGGACCATCCCTGGGAACGCCCTGGTGGTGGATCCTAAGAAACCCTTCCGGAAACTCAACGCCTTTGGCAATGCCTTCTTGAACAGGTGAGTGCAGAGGGAACATACACACTGACTTTTCTTCTTCTTGGGGTCTGAGAAGGGAAAACACAGGGCCGAGTCTTGGGAGGCATGGTGCCTTTCCCATGCCTAAAGTCTCTCTGAATTGTCCCTTCCTTGCTCAGAATATAACTGAGCCAGTCACTATAGAGTAGGGATGCAGGAGCTGCAGACGCTAGGCTGCCTTCTCCTGATCAAGGAGCAGGGAAGGGTACCACAAGGTGAATCACACACACCCATCTCTCTGCACCTCCTGCCAATAAGAGCAGAGAGCATTCACAGCCTTTGCCTGTGCTACCAAGGGATTTGCATTCAAATGGAAGGAGGCAGAGGAAGGTTTTTCTCTGTCACTGGACACGGTTTTCACTTGGTGGAAGGAACCCTGGACTTAAGGTGGAAGTCCCGAGTTTGACTTTCCTACAAATCTCCTTGTGTGACCTTGGACAGGTCACAAGTAAAAGCCTGCAGACACCAGAGTGGTTGTGATGATTTGAGTGGGAAAGCTCTAGGGAATGCTTGGTAGGCTGATCCAGGTCTTCCTGTTTTTGCTTAACGAAAATGCAGGATATCCCCTGATAGCACTTTTTCTATAAACTCATACCACATTTTTGCATGAGTATTGCACTGAAAGTTTTTAAACTACTTTCCCTAATTGGAGGGATTTAGTGAAGAGGGAAAGGCTATGGGCTTTGCCTTCGGACAGACCTGGGTTCAAATCCTGCCACGTAGCACCATGGATCTCAGACAAATTGCCTAACTTCTCTGTGTCTCACTTTTCCCATCTGTGAAAGAGGATAATACTAATACCCTCGTTTCAGGCAAGAGCAACTGAGTTGGTCTTATGGGAAGTTAGCATTTGACATGGGTGATCAAGATGAGTGAGGTGACACTGAAAGTGTAAAAAAAAAGAAAACACAACCCAGCATTCCAGGCAAATGACATTCCACCCAGAGGGGAATGAAAGAATGTGGCTTAGTGCAGGAACCCTGTGACCAGAATTGGGAAAGCTTCGTGCTTTTCTGACCGTGGGCTGGGGATCTGCCAAACATGTCCATTGCAAGGGCAACAGGGAAAGGGGGCAGCTTCACTGCAGTCACTCACAAGAGGCTGCACCCCACACCTCAGATTGCCCATCTCTGTGCCCCTCAGCCAGCCTACAGCAGCCTATCCCTCGTCAAATCCCGCCCTTCTCCAGTCACCGCGCCTCCTTCTTACGGAATTTGGCTTCCCTTCCCTTCTAGAGAGAATGGGAACCAGTGCCCACAGATCCATCTCATTGTTTGTTCAATCTGCTGTAAACAAGTTCATCTGCCTTTGTCCTCACTTCCTCCTCGGGGGCGTAGAGAGCTGTGGCTTCTCTTGTCCTCACAAGGTCTAACTCCTGCCTCATCGTGTCCTGGGGCTAAGGGACATCTTCTCAGGGACCCTCTCCATCAGTGACTGCTTCTCCTTCTGACCACTTCACCCTCACTTGGCTCCTTCTCTTCACAGAAAAATCTCCTCTTGATAAACCGAAAGCAGGTCCTGCTAACTTTCACTCTCCCTCTCTTCTTAGAGCCAAGTTTCTTGGCTTCATCTCCTCGTTTCTTCCTGTCCCCCAACCTGTGGATGTAGCTTCACCCTTCCATAGCTGCTTGTGTGAAGGTCCCCGTGACCTCTTAGTGATCATAAGAAGGGCTTCTTTCCACCCTTACATTACCTCCTTGGTATTTGTCTCTCTTGACCACCATTCCCTCTCCTCCTGCCTCCCTGATCAGGCCCTCTCTGCATCCATTCTCCTCTGTATCCCCTTTTTCTCTGACCCCGATGACCTGGTGTCACCTTTAATTGGCCCATCATCGCTTCCTGCCTTTCTTACTCCATATGCTTGGCCTGGGTTTGGCCTCAGCCACAACCCTGGCCCCAGATACCAAATGACAAAAGCCCAGCTCAAACTAGCTTCAGCAAGATGGGGGATGTGCTGTAGAACACTGGGGTGTGCCATAGAACCTCAGGAGCAGAATGTAGCTGGGTCTCAGGTGTAATGGACACCATGGACTTCGACAGGACAGGGGCTGTGTCACTTACTGCTCTACCTCTCTTATCTGGGCTAGTGCCAGGCATGCAGCAGACCCTCCATAAGTATTTGTGGAACTGAACTGGACATGCTGACAACCATCATATAGGATCATGTCATTCTTTGGCTTAAAGCATTCTGATGGGTTTCTACTGCCTTCAGCATAAAATTTTAATGTGACTTTCAAGGCCCTTGTGATCTGGCCTCCCGCCTCCTCCCTGTCTAGCTTCATCTCTGGCCACTCCAGCCTTACTGCCCTCGCCTCAGTGATGTGTACCCACAGGAATGGTGCATGCGCTGTCTCATTTCTGTGCTGCCTTTGCACCTACTTCTACTAGTTGCCACTCAGAGCCTTAATGCAACAGAAATGTGTTATCTCATAGTTCTGGAGGCCAGAGCTGAAGCCAAGGTATGGCAAGGCCATGGTCCCTCGGAAGATTCTAGAGGAACATCTTCTCTTGCCTCTTCCCTCTCCCGGTGGGCCAGGTGTTCTTGGTAGTAGAAGCATGATTCCAACCTCTGCTTGTGCGTGTCTGTCTTCGCATGTGTTCTCATCTTATAGTGTTGTTTTATAGAATTGTACACCTGAGATCTACAGAATGTTATTATCCAGTGTTGCCCTAACTTAATTTTTAAAAGGACACCAGTTTTATTGGATTAGGGGCCTACCCTACTCTAGTATGATTCCACCTTAAATAATTACATCTACAGAGACCCTATTTCAAAAAAATGGTCACATTCTAGACCCCCTAGGGGTTAGGACTTCAATAGATCTCATTGGGGGACAAAATTCAACCCATAACACTGCTCTTTCACTACCTCTTATCTCAGTCTGGAATACTGTCTTCTCTACACTACCCATTCACTGATACACACATACCCGCACGCGTGCTCGCAAACACACACACACACACACACACACACACACACACACACACCTGCATTCTTATCTGCCTGGCAAATGCTTATTATCTTTTGAAGTCTTAGTTCAAGTTTGGCCTCCTCTGTGAAGGCCTCCCCTCCTCCTTTTTTCCCCATGTTTCCTGTATCTCTGCCATTTCACATAATATACCTGGGAGAGTAAGACACCTTTTTACCTTCTACCAAAAATACCTTTTTAGCTTCCACCAAAAATGGCATATGAGAGTGAAGGCTGAAGTATGAAGGATCTAAGTTAGGTTTATCAGTGTGTCATTGAGACTTCAGGATGTAACACTATAAATGTTTTTCCTTGAATAAGGCTTGACTGCTATCCTAATAGCAAAGTTTGATATTTGGATAGCCCTTTGAGGCCCAAGCAAATGTTTCTGGGTGATATGACCCCTTCATCAAGGCCAGTTCCAGTGCCACTTCCTCCAGGAGGCCGTCCTGGTCTACATCTATCCATCCACCTTGGGTCTCCTGAACCCTTTGCTGGGCCTCCCTCCAGTTGGCCACATGCTGCCACCTCTCCTCACCAGACTGGGTTGGTTCCCTGGGAGTAAGGCTCGAGTTCTGGACATCTTGATGTTCCTGACAGCGGGGGTCACAGTGCAGGACCCTGGCTGCCCAGGCTCCCCCAGGAGCTGCTTCAGCAGACAGGTCTTGGGCCCAGCACTGTGGTTAAGTCTGACGTGGAGCTGGGTGTCTGCATGGGAAGGCAGCCAGGTTTCTGAACCTCTGCCCCCGGGCAGGGAAGGTGGACATGTGGCTGAAACAAGGATGTGTGAGGCAACGTGAGGACGGTGGCTCACCTCGGACTCCTGTCGTCCATGCAGGTTTGTGTGTGCCCAGCTGCCCAACCCTGTGCTGGAGAGCATCAGCATCATCGACACGCCAGGCATCCTCTCTGGGGAAAAGCAGAGGATCAGCCGAGGTAGGGTCGGCGGGCTCTATGCTCTGTTCTTCCAGGTGTGTTCTCTCGCTTCCATACCAGGATCAGGCCTCCAGGGCCTTGCTGTCTCCCCTGATGAACCGGTGCTGCCCGGTGAGCTGTATGGGATGGTCCGAGGCAGTGGCCAGGGTGGGTCTACTGTGTCTCGGGAGACAGCTGGCCTCTGAATTCTCTGTAAAAGGGAGACACCAGTATCTGCTTTTCCTCCCTCATCGAGGTTACTCATGCTCCAAGCGATACCTAACGTGGGCCAGCCCCTGGTCGCTTCTGAAGTCCCTGCAGTCTCTGCCCTGGAGCTTGCTGCTCTGCAGGGTGATGGGCGGGCGAGGCAGAGAACTTCAGCTCCACAATGTGAGGACAGCGTGCGCGGGCCCTGGGGATGGGAGCTGGGATGTGAGAGCACTTTGAAAACTGCTCACTCCGGACAGAAAGGGGGGAACCGTGCCTTAGGGAGATCTCCCCCACGGTGGTTAGAAGCTGGAACTCGAGCCAGACTGCCAGGGTTCCAAGCCTGCCTCTGCCACTTCCTGGCAGCCTGAACTGGGGCAGGTTTGCTTGCTCTGGTTGGTTCATCTGTAAAGTAGGGAGAAATTATTCTATCTATCGGATAGGTTGTTTGAGGATTAAAAGAAATAATGTAGATTAAAAGCTTTCTGCCTGGCTCATAGCAGTGCCCAGTAAGGTGTTATAGATCCTCACCATCATCATCACTGCTTTTTCCAGCTAGACTGATGCTGTTTAAAGCTGAAACAACTGCCCCTCACCCCCAGCCTCCTCTGCCGCGGTGTGCTGTGTGCCTCAGGTGACGCCTCTACCCTTTCTGTGCCCTGTATCTCTCGCGAGAAAAACAGATGAGGCACACCCGTCCGGTAGCGGAGCTGGGAGCTGAGCTAGAGCCAAATCAGCACTCGGAAGTCAGCATCCGGGAAGGAAAGGCTTTGGCCTGGGCAGTAGCTGGAACTCTCACCTCGCCTGAACCCTTAGCTGGCTGTCCGCTTCCCTCGGCCCCTGTGCTCTGCGTCCCAGACAGACAGACAGGTGTTTGAACACCCTCTCCGCCAGGGGCATGGCCTACCAGGGCCAGCACCCGCTCCCCCAGGTTGCGCTGTTTCCCATGGGCAGCCTGTCTCCTCCCGGTGGCTCCGGAGAGCCAGACTTCAATCCCTACAAGGCCAGTGCAGCCTGACAGGCGGGTCTGGAGGTTGCCAAGGAGGCTGGACTCAAGTTCAGAGATGGGGGTTTAGAACCTGCGCGGCTCTCAGCAGGTCACGTTTCCCCCTGAGCCTCACTGTTCCCTGTGTATGAGGAGGAGTAACGACCCTTCAGATGACCTTGTCAGGTCCACGGATGGTAGTGGAAACACGGGCATCAGCTTTGGGTCTGGATCTCAGATCGCTCCCTCCTGTCCCCTGACCTGCCAGCCAGGGCCACCTGCTCTGCAGCCCCAGGGTCATCTGTGTGATGGCCTCTCTGCAGCAGAGGGTGCGCAGCCTGTGCAGCGGTGTGTGGCCGCCCTGCTTCGGGGATCCCTGCCTTCCTCCACTCCAGTCCTATCCCGTTCTCTCTCCACCCCTCTGCCTCCTCTCCTGCCTTCATCTCTAGGCCTCAGCGGCTGCCCTACGCAGATTGGGTGCTTGGCCATCTTCCTGCCCTTCCTGTCCTTTCCCATCTCACGTGACTAAGCCCCTCCTTTGGGAGAAGTGATGCCCCAGGAGTGCTCCCCAGGCCAGTTTGTCCCTGCCCTCCTGGTCCAGTCTACCAGTGCAGCTGCTGGCAAAGCAGCCGGTGGTGGAAACCGGAGCTGGGAGCTGGGCCACAGCACTGCATCGTCAGCCCGGGCAGTGCTGACCTCAGCTCTCCAGGAAACCGGGAGGGAGGATCACACACTCCCAAATGTCAGGGCACCCCAAGTGAGGAGGATTCCAGTACACAGCACCCCTCCTCTTCCTTCCTCACAGAGCTGTAGAAGCTGGAGGGTCCGGCTTATACCTACACATAAACACCCACACTCATCTACACACATCCACACACATTTACACTCACACTCATATACACCCACACTCATACACACATCCACACACATAAACACCCACACTCATATATACCCACACTCACACATACATCTACACACATAAATACCCACACTCATCCATCCACATCCACATATACACCCACACTCATATATACCCACACTCATACATATATCCATACACATATACATCCACATTCATATACACCCACACTCATATACAGCCACACTCATATACACATCCACACACATATACACATCCACACACATATACACCCGTACTCATATACACTTCCACAATAAATACCCATGCTCATATGCACATGTGCATACACACATCCACACCTCCTTCCACACATATCTCCCCTTCCCCCCCAAGTGTGTACATAGAACCAAACGCACTTTATCTGGCTGTGGTCTGGGCCCTCAGGGCTCCGGATTTGGTCCCAGGGCAGAAAGGCACTTCTTCCCTCACTTCGGCCAGCCCAGGGCAGGGCTGAACCCCCGACCCTGCACAGGGCTGTGTCTCCCAGAAGAAAGGCGCCACTGTGACACTTGCAGAGCCTCCTCTGGGCCGTGGGCCCCGTGTGGAAAGTGCGCTGCTCCCAAGGGCTCCCCAGACCCCAGGCTTCACAGGAAGGAGGACTCAGACCCCAGGCCAGGCTGGACAAAGCATGGTCTTGCTCAGGGCGTGCCCCATGGCCCAGGCCGGGGGTGGTTATTTGCAGGGTGGGAGAAAGCGGGGAACATCCCAGAACCCGGGCCTGGGCGGCCACGAGCAGCAGTTGTCTCTGCGTGGAGATGCACCGGGTGGGCAGCAGAGGGGCAGGGAGGCATTCCGGGAAGTGACAGGATGTGCTGGCCCAGGACTCATTACTGGGAAGGAGCAAGGAAGCAACACAAGTGGGTGGGTCCCGGAAGCCTGAATGTCCTCTCACTGGGCAGCCACATTTCCCTGCTGCTCTCAGTTAGAAATCCCCACCAGCTCCACCCTGGAAAAGCAACCCCCAGACCTTGAGCTCACATCCCTCCCAGCAAGCCCTTCCTGTACAGGTGCGCTTAGCAGCTCTATAGCAGGTGAACCCCTTGCCCAGTCTCAACGCTGCAATGGGAGCTCTGACCTCCTGGCTCCCAGTCTCGTGGCTTCCCAGCACATTTTCATGGAGGTGGGGAGTAGGCATGAGAACAATCTCATCCCCTGAGGAACTCTCACAGCCCTGGCCCGTCCCTGGCCCCCTTGCTGGAGCAGGGCCAGCACTTAGAGGCCTCCTGGGCCTCACTGGGACAGCAGGAGTGTCCTGATACCCTTTCCAAGGGCTCGCTGACAGCCTGCAAACCTTCTGGAAGGCATGTCGTGTGGCATTTGTCACCATAGTCATCTCAGTCCTTCCCACATTTTAGAAATCAATGCCTTGTTACTATTTTATTTTATTTTATTTTATTTTAAATCTTGAAAGAGATTTGGGGGGAGGCAGAGCAGGACCCTAAGTAACTGTCTGTTCTGAGGGCTCAGGCCTCTGGGTTCAGCCAGGCACATGGCAATAAGCATGAAGGGAAGGTAGACAAGAGTCAAGGTTCTGGGTTCTAGTCCCAAGTTTGCCACCACTTGGCTGTGTGAGCCCAGGCCAGCCCGTTCCCCTCTCTGTTCCCTCTCCCTTCCCTGTAAGATGTGCAGGCCCTGTTTACCCCTGGCATCGGCAGATATGAGAATCAATGAGATTGAGTGGCTCAATGTGCCAAGACATGTGCTGCCGTATCCCCTGCATTTCTCTTTAGACTGCGAAGGAAGCCAGCGGGTCCTTAAGGAGCTGCCTTGCTTATTGGGTTTGTCTCATTGATTTCCTGCTGCCTGGCATTACTTAGATATATTCTCTTTCCCGTCGGCCGGAGCCTGGGGGCCGTGGGGAGAGGCCCAGGTGCCTGCAGGCTGCCCAGTCTCTGGGCCTGGCGTCTGCAGTCCAGATCTCTTGGAGCCCGCAGACTTGCTGTAAGCAATTCCAGGAAGGCCAGCTTTGCCCTCCATCTCTTGGGGCTTGAATCTCCCCCACCCATGGCCATATCTTACGTCATGAGCCCTCAGACTGCTGCAGGTGCCCTAGAGCTCTTGTTATGGGTCTGGGAACCATTCCCGGACCAGTGAGGGAAAGGGGGCCTGTCGCTGGTGTCCTGTCCGCCCCAGGCCCTGGGGCAGAGGCTCCAGACTCAGCGCAGCGCCTCCCTCTGCAGTCGGATCCTGTTGCCATAGTTCTGCCACTGACCCCTCATTAGTCAGTTGTTGTTATCCCCATTTTACAGCTGAGCAAATGGAGGTTCAGACTTGCCCAAGGCCACACAGTGAGTACATGGGAGAGCCAGCCCCATGCCCTTTTCCTTAACGGCTCCAGCTCATGCCTTGCAGCTGCTCCCACTCCTGGTTGTACATAAGCTGAATCTAGGCCACAATTAACCAGTGAACTATCATACATCCAAAACGGAACCATCCTCACACTCCACAATATTTTGAATTTAATTGTGTCTGTAGATGCTTATGCATACAAATGGTTCAATCCCCATCTTGGAGGTTGCCCTGATTTTCTGAGCCCTCTGCCCCCTTCCTGCCCACAGTTCTGAAGGACTGCCTTTGGGAGGGGAGAGCAGCCAGTCTACTGGGCCATGCCAAAGGGACGATTAGAAATAGCCAGGAGTGCCGAAAACCGGTTTGGCTCAGTGGATAGAGCGTCAACCTGTGGACTAAAGGGTCCCAGGTTCGATTCCAGTCAAGGGCATGTACCTTGGTTGCAGGCACATCCCCAGTAGGGGGTGTGCAGGAGGCAGCTGATCAATGTTTCTCTCTCATCAATGTTTCTAATTCTCTATCCTTCTCTCTTTCTCTCTGTAAAAAATCAATAAAATGTATATTTTTTTAAAAAGAAAGAAATAGCCAGGAGCAATCCCTGGGGCGGCGCAGGCAGGAGAGCAGGTGTCGGCTGCAGGCTGCAGGCGCACCTGGAACCGGAATGCACAGGCCTCCCAGGCTCTGTGGGAGCTGCTGGCTGGGCCTGTGCAGTGAGCAGGGCAGGGAGGGCAGGGCAGGGCAGGACAGGGGAGAGCAGGTAGACAGGGATGTGGCCAGGTGCTGGACTGCTGCCCGCGTGGCATGTGCAGGGAGCACAGGGACTTGTTGGCCAGGTGCAGTCCTGGCCCCACCCCTTGCCTGCTGTTTAATACTCACTTCATCTCTGAACCTGTTTCCTCCTCTGGAAAGTGGGAATGATACTCCTCACCCCACCTACCTACAACAGAGGGTGTTGTGAGGGTGAAATGAAGTTGTGCTGTAACCATCTTGCCAGCCGGAGCAAGCACTGGGTCTGGGGTTAGAGAACTACAATATGTACCGCACCCCACCTCTGCCTCCTACAAGCGGGGTGGTCCTGGATGAGTCACGGGGTGACTGCTTCTAGATGGCACTGACAATATCCCTGCCTGGTCACTTTCCTAGGCCCTGCTCCATAAGGGAGAGGGTCAGTCTCCCTGAATCAGAAGACTGCTAATGATAATTAGCATTTATTGAGCAGTTACTATATGCTGGGCTTTCAGTATATTTAGTCCCTACAGTTCTCTTAATGAGGTACTACCAGTGAGCCCACTGATAGATGAAAACACTGTGACTTAGAGACACAGAGTAACTTGCTCAAGGCCAAATAGTGAAAACAGCGGAAGAATCAGAATTGGAACCCAGATTTGACTCCCAAGATGGTCTTATTTCTCCTGCACCTGGTGCATCACCCCAAGCCCCTAGCCTGTGCCCCCTGACTGTCCCTCTGTCCACAGGGTATGACTTCGCTGCTGTCCTTGAGTGGTTCGCCGAGCGGGTCGACCGCATCATTCTGCTCTTTGACGCCCACAAGCTGGACATCTCTGACGAGTTCTCCGAGGTCATCAAGGCCCTCAAGAACCACGAGGACAAGATGCGGGTGGTGCTGAACAAGGCCGACCAGATCGAGACCCAGCAGCTGATGCGGGTGTACGGGGCCCTCATGTGGTCTTTGGGGAAGATAGTGAACACCCCGGAGGTGATCCGGGTCTACATCGGCTCCTTCTGGTCCCACCCCCTTCTCATCCCTGACAACCGGAAGCTCTTCGAGGCCGAGGAGCAGGATCTGTTCAAGGACATTCAGAGTTTGCCCCGAAACGCTGCCCTGCGCAAGCTCAATGACCTCATTAAGAGAGCCAGGCTGGCCAAGGTGAGTCTGCCCTTGGGGGGATGGGCAGCATGGGTGGCACCATGTGTTTGGGGAGGCGGGGTTTAGCTGCAAGAGCCACCTGCAACTTTGAGCATTGCCTGCCCATGTGAGCATGTCCTGTAACTACTGTGTCATGAGCTTCAGCCATGCCCATACAGGCAGCCTGGGGCAGGATATGGGGTCACATGGCCAGATTGGAGCTACATTCCACTGTTTACAAACTGCGATCTCATCCCCAGCAAGGCCCTCCATCTCTCTGTGCCTGTTTCCTCACCTGGGAAATGAAAGAGTTGGAGGATAGAGTAGAATCAGAATGTAAAACCCTTTATTGCCATGCCAGTGACCTCAAAAGCACTCAGTAAATGTTGGTTATTGTTATTGTCTTCCTCATCAGCATCATCTCCAGTATTACCGTCCCTGCTATTGCCTTGACCTTAACCTCCTCACAATCTTGCCTTTTCCCTGAGATCCAGAAAAATAGTTCAGTGCTGCAAGAAGTGAGAGAGGAAGAGTGTGGACAGAAATTATTTTGGAAGTAGGAGCAGGAGGAGGAGGGGTTTATGGGACGAGATGGTTGAGAGCCACCAAGAAGAAAGGAATGGATTCAGGTCTTGATCAGAAGCATTCTCTCTGCCCATTTCCCAGGTCCATGCCTACATCATCAGCTCTCTGAAGAAGGAGATGCCCTCCGTGTTCGGGAAGGACAACAAGAAGAAGGAGCTGGTGAACAACCTGGCTGAGATTTACGGCCGGATCGAGCGGGAGCACCAGATCTCGCCTGGGGACTTTCCCAACCTGAAGAGGATGCAGGTAACCCCAGGACTCAGGGACAGTGAGGAGCCTGAGTATGGAGGAGGCCACGCAGGGAGATGCCCTACGTCTGTCCTTCTCTGTGCTATCGCCGGCCTAGCAGGTGTCATACCTGGGGCTGGAGAGAAACGTGATTTCCCAGCGATCCTAGTAGGACAGGGGTGTCCCATGATGTTTGGGGTCTGTACCTCCAGTTCCCTAGTCACAGCCACCACATAATGTGAGGTAGGACAAGTCACCTAATGAAGGTTCTCCAGGCCCTCATGTACGTAAGAATGGCTGGGGACATAGGCCATGGAGAAGAAGTCTGCCCAGGACCCTGCCATCTTTATAGCCCACCATAGGCTCCTCTCTTGAGCCAGGGACCATCACACTTGGTGACTCATGTCATTCCCCACATCAGCCCTCTGCAGAAGGCCTTTTCCTCCTCCTGTGATGGATTAGCAAATTGCAGTTGACAAAGATAATTAACCTTCGCAGTTAGCTGCCTGCAGTTTTCTGAGTGCAGTATTCCAGTGGCCTGCTAATAGAAAAGCCAGGAGTTGCCCCCCCAGTCCAAGTAAGAAAATACCTCCCTATCCCAGCTGAATCGTCTCTGAGCCTCTGTCTGTTCATCTGTAAATCAAGGCCCCAGACATACTCCGCTATGGATGCTGTGAGCATCCGTGAGATAATTTTTATAAGGTACTCAGTGCAGATCCTGGCACTGACTCACCTTGAAATGGCGTAAGACGTTACCACCAGGGAAGCTGGGTGGTGAGCAAAAAGGGCTTACCTATCCATGTAATTTTTGCAACTTCTCATGGCTCTGGATTATATCAAAACATGCTGTTTTAAAAATCAGAGTTAGAGAAAACAGCCGCAGATGTAGCAGTGATACTGCTTTTGCTCTTGCTGCTGACTTCGATCTGAAGCTTGGGAACCAGTTTCTTCATTAGGTGACTTGTTCTATTTAACATGACGTGGTGGCTGTGACTAGGGAACTGGGGTTTCAGAACTCCCTAGGGTCTCAAATAGACACTTTGGGTTTCCTATCTGATTTTAAAAAAATAGACATTCAAAATAGACATTTGTTCATGTTTCCACTTATGCCTATAACCACCTACCACGAGCCAGTCATTAACTTCAGAAATTACTTTAACGTTACTTGTGTCTCAATCGACTATGCCCTGGAACATGGTCAACTTGTAGTTTCTCTTCCCATTAAGAGTTTAATGCTCTGTAATCAAACATTTGGGAAGATGATGTTTGAAAGGGGCCATACGACCCCTTTTTTAATGTGAGAGACTCTTTCACAACATAAATGAGTTCATCTCCTGCTATTAGGTATGCTGATCAATAACATAAGTGGCTGTCCTTTGGGGGAAAGTATGAGGGGGGGCAGGAAGGGGCATAGCCACTGTGCCCCTGGAAGATATTGGGAACCCACCCAGCTATGGACAGAGACCTGAGGGACCTTAAGAGGTAATATCCTGAGGGCAGGAAAACAGCTGATCCGCCCCTGCCCTCCTTCCCTCCCAGCCCCACCGCCCTGGTTCAGCCTGTCCTTGAAGGGAGGTGAGAAACGCCCAAGCTAACACTGCCTCTTGGAATGTGGCTGTGGGTGTTGGTGGAATTTTTCTACTGTGAATTCAAGGTGCTTGTCACCAGCCTATCCCCCATGCACTGGCCTCTTCCCCGGATCCTGAGGGTGCGGCGGCCTAGCCAGGGCAGGAGCGGAGAGCTCTCACCTCACTCCTGAGGCCCAGGGAAGCCAGGCGTTCTAGACTCAGGACCTTTCAAAAATCACAACGACGTGCAAAGGGGAGCGTGTTTCTCTTACCGTGTAGCGGGGGTGTCGTGGGGAGGCCAAGAGGGGAGCTGTTGCAAAATCTGCATGCCCGCTGCATCTACTGTGTGAGGAGCTTCAAGTTGGAGCCAGTGAACACTCGCCCCAGGTGATTCCAATGAGCATCCTGATGAAGAACCGCTGGGCAGGGTTGACCCTGGGCTTCTAGTATGTTTTGTTCTGAGCTGCCTGGGCCTCAGTTTTTCTTCCCTAAATGGGGATGAGATGTGATTTCCCTCCCTCAGAAGGGCACTAGAGGAGCCAATAAGACCATCTAGTAAAAGCACTCTGCGTTTTCAAGTGTAACCTTATTGAAGTAGAGAGACCCCCCTGCCCCCATGCTCCATCTCGCTCCTTCCCAGCCCCCAAGACGGTTCTACTTGCTCCTGAAAAATCCCAACCTCAGCACAACATGCCTTCTTTCCCTCTCCTCTCTCAGAGCTTTTATGATTCTGATGTGGCTCAGTTCGGCTTCAGGCCAAAGGGCTGTGGGCACCCCAGCCTTAGTGGAAGACAGCATCCCCCTCAGGGGAGGACACTCCTCCCGCTGTCTTCCTGCTTCACCTCCTTTTCTCTACCCCCCCAGGACCAGCTGCAGGCTCAGGACTTCAGCAAATTCCAGCCCCTGAAAAGCAAGCTGCTGGAGGTGGTGGATGACATGCTGGCCCGAGACATCGCCCAGCTCATGGTGCTGGTGCGCCAGGAGGAGTCCCAGCGGCCCGCCCCAATGGTGAAGGGTGGCGCGTTCGAGGGCACCCTGCAAGGCCCCTTCGGGCACGGCTACGGGGAGGGGGCCGGGGAGGGCATCGATGAGGCTGAGTGGGTCGTGGCCAGGGACAAGCCCATGTACGACGAGATCTTCTACACCCTGTCACCAGTGGACGGCAAGATCACGGGCGCCAACGCCAAGAAGGAGATGGTGCGCTCCAAGCTGCCCAACAGCGTGCTGGGCAAGATCTGGAAGCTGGCGGACGTCGACAAGGATGGCATGCTGGACGACGAGGAGTTCGCCCTGGCCAACCACCTCATCAAGGTCAAGCTGGAGGGCCATGAGCTGCCCAACGAGCTGCCCATCCACCTCCTGCCGCCATCCAAGAGGAAAGTTGCCGAGTAATGGGAGGAGGTGGAGGTTCAGAGCAGGCAGGTGTTACAGGAGATGGGAGAGGCGGACACGGACACACGGACACACACACACACACACACACAATCTTGAGAACCGCACAGCAGGTGAGAGGGATCAGCCATCCCCAGGTTTCCGGGCTGGACACAGGTCCTCATCATCGGCAGAAGCACAGGGTCCCAGCTCCCAAACCTCCCTCTCCATCCCTCTCTCCTTCCTGACTTCCCCCACCCAGAGACCTGCCTTCTCCTGCAGGGAGTTCACCCACCTACCGGCCCACCCACCTCCACATTCCCCTGACTCAGGACAGATGGAAATCCTTTCCACTTAATTGGCGATTCACTTTGTTTTCTGAGCTTTCTCCCTGTCTTTGGCTTCCTGATATGAAATCTGCTCCAAGGCCGGGAGTTGTGCGGGAAGGGGCTGCTGCAAGGAGGGTGCGGGGAGGAGAGGCGTCCCCGGGAAACAGGTCCCAGCCTTGAAGGGACATGGCCCTGAGCTCCCTTCTTGCAGCCAGAGCCGGCTGGCGAGCGGGCAGGGCCAGCAGCACTTGGTAGGCCATCCGTCTGGCCATCTGTCACATCGCAGAAGCAAAGTGTGCCTTCTGGCTCGGCGCCCCGCGTTCCTAAAATTGCCGCAGTCCTACAGCGCCAGCGGGAGAGTGGGCCCGCCTGCTGGATGCTGCTCCTGCCTGTCCCTGCTCCACCTCCCACCAGAGCTGAGTCATCCAATGCAGTCACTGGCTATCACGTGGGACCTCATGCTGACTCTCAGAAAGACCGCCCAGAGGTCTGAGGTGTCCCCCACAGGGCCACCAGCAACGGCAGTGCCCTCGACACATCACTCCCATTCTCGGGGCCCTGCTCTCGCCTCCGTGGTCTTTCCCCTGATTTGCTTCGTGGCCACTGAACCAGTCACTTTGTATGCTATGCTCCTACTGTGATGGAAAACAAAAGCGAGTATAACTTATTTTATATCTATGTCCAGGCTCTAGAGAGAATATCCTATGTATCTATGATGTGCCCACTACTGTAGTGTGTTTGTCATTAGTGTTCATGTTAATACAGCACAGTTATCCTTTGGTACCCTGCTGGCCACAGAGCATCATTCTATGGGTGGCTAGGGGAGAGGGCTGGGTTCTTTCCTGAGATCCCTGGTGGTGTCTTTGGCAGGGGATTGGGCTACCCTGGCAGCAGCCATATACCCTGTTGGCCTGGTGGCTGCCCTGTGGTTACCTAGGCTGCCCTGTGGAACCACCTCTCCCTGCCCCTCTGCAGTGGGGATGGCCCTCAAGCCCCTGGGCTTCCTTCTGCACCCGCACGTTCCTCTGTCTCATGATGTGAAGGGCAAAGGAAGGTCAAGACAAAGAAGTCTAACCTCCTCTCTCAGAGACCACTGGTCAGCTCTGTGCCTCTCTCTGAGCTGAAGGAAAATGGGAAGGAGACAGCAGAGGGGGGCGAAGTTTCTGTCTTCTTATTTTAGAAGGAACAGGGTGTCAGTCCCCTCGCCCCCACAGCCACCTGGACACAGGCACCACCTTCCTGCCCTGCCTCTCTTCCCTCCTTTCTCCAAGACTCCAACCCGGAGAGATCTAGGAGGCCTGGGATTTCTGTGTTGGCACTTTTCCCATCTCCTGAGAAAAAGGAAATGGTGCTTGAGGCTCCTCTCAACAGCTGAGGGTCACTTTCTCTGGGGCTGCCCCTCTGGCTCTTGCTGCCTTGACTTTCTGACCTCTTGCTGGCTCCGGGGTCCTGGGGCTATCATGTGCCTCCACTGGGACACATTTAATAGAAAGCAGATGCATGCCATGGAGGTTTCACAGGCAAGAATCCCTACAGATTGCACTGTGATGTGGCTCCATCCCCATGCACCCCTCAGCCGGGGTCCTAGAAGTCGTCAGATATGAGGAGCACTCCCTGCACCACTGCCCCAGGAAAGCCTGCTCCTGGCATGAGGGCCACCTCCTGACCAGAGTCTACTTGTGTTCAGGGACACTGCTGGTCACGGCAGGGCCTGGGCCTTCGAGTGCAGAGGGGTGAGAGATGGCCCTAAGACATCCCCACATCCATCTGTCCCCTCTGTTCCAAGAGCTTGTGTTTGTGTGTTAGCTCATCAGAATTAGCAGAGCTATCTGGGGAGAATAGGCTTGTTTCTTTTCCCTAGGAGACATGAACTGGCCTCTGTGTGTATTTATTTCTTTACTCTTTGATTTTCTCTTCCATTCATCCATCTAGCCATGCAGAAGAGGCCCTAAGGTCAAGATAGAGATTCCTTCTCTGAGCCATTGAAAAACGTAATCAATGCCATCTGTGCAGTAGGGACAATTCCAGATGGGTCAGACCAAGTTCTTGCTCTCAAAGAGCTCACAGCCTTCCAGTTAGGGAAACATTTACACAAACATTGATAATACAAGGAGGGACCAGGACAGAACCTGGGGTGGGGTTGGGTGTAGGAAAGGGGGTGGGGGTGGGGGGGGCACATGAGAGTCAGAAACGGCTTCAAGCTTACTTAGGAGGAGATGGTCAGAGAAAGCCTGGGTGAGGGTGGGCACATGAGATGAACCTAAGAGGAAACCTGGGGTCTTCCTCTTATGCCCACTGGCTTCCTTCTCTAACCAAGGAAGATAGGATTTTATACAAAAGCAAACACACAGCACCCCCAGCCCACAAAATCCTGCCTGGCTCAGAACCGCTGAGGTGCTTGAGGAAAAGCACGATTCAAATTTTGTCTCTGGAGGCTGCTGGTGTTTTACAGGCCATTTTCAAGTAAAAATGTTATCCGTGTCTTTAAAGTCGAAATTTCCAGTGCCTGGAGGAAAAGAAAAATGGTGATGGGTGAATGTCAGCTATTCCAGCTGGAGCATGGGGGGGGGGGGGGGGTAGGGGAGGAGATAGAAGGGGCACCATTCTCCCCTCGACCTCTCGCTGGGGTAGTCAGTGCTGTTCATCTGTGGGTTCCCGGGTCCTCCTGACAACAGGAGGATTCAGATTTCTCCTCCTTGAGGTGAGGGGAGTTGTGTGGCTTGCCATGGGCCAGTGGAATATGAGTACAGCAACATGCCCCTTCTTTGCAGAAATGAGTACACAGTTTGCCACATTTTGCACGTGGGAGCTAGCGTGAACACAGATCTTGGGCCAGCTCAAATCCCTGAATCACTCTGAAATCCCTGACCAGCCTGCACCGAACAGATGGCATGAATAAGATGGAAATCCTAGTCATTCTGATGTTAAGCCACTGATAGCCAAAGGCTGTTTATCACCCAGCAGCACCTAGACCCCAGTGGTCGGCAAACTCATTAGTCAACAGAGCGGCAAACCTCAGCTCGAGAGCCACAGTTTGCCAACCACTGACCTAGACTATCATGACCAAGAGACCTGGTCAATTCTTCCAATAGCAAGTGTAGAGGAGAGAAAGTCTAGGAGACTGAGTTCCTGCCTTCCTAAAAACTGAGGCCACCGAAGCTGAAGTCACAGGTGATGTGCACAAATCCTTTTGCATCTGGGTCACATTCTGCAATGTCCCAGACCTGGCCCCTCAACATCACTTTTAAACTGAATAACTTTACACTACTGGAATCAAACACTGCTGGGCCTTGTCTTCTTCTGGCAGTAATATAGACTGGGCATTTGTCTATCTAGACCTGAAACAGAGATGTGTACAGGTCAGAAAGAGAAAAACTACAATTCCCAAACTCCCTTGCAGCCAGGTTCAGGATGTGATTCCAAGCCATACCAATCACATGCACAGAGGAAGAAGAGATGAAAGAGGGTTTGTGGAGAACCTGGGAGAGCAATTTTTACACTGCCATTCAGGGAATAGGAGGCCTGAAGACTACCTGTGGGTCCCTGCAGGCCCTGGCTGACCATGGCCCCCGCCACCTGTGTTTATGCACAGCCCTGAGTCCCTGCCTGGCCACCAAGCCATCTTCATCACATGCTGACTGTGAGCTCTGAATACTCAAAGTGCCCTCATAGTGGTGGGTTTGGGGCACGGAGGAGTGGTGACATGATTGCCTGGCTCCCATGCAGACTACCTAAGAATTTCACAGGTGAGAGCAGACACTCCAGTATATTGAATGCACAACCCAAATGGCAAATGTTTCTCTTCACGCAGTTTCAGAATGACACTTGTGAAAGGTGAAGTCTCCTTTTCACTAGCCAGCGTCTTTTCATAGCATTTCTGAATCCTTGTTTTAAGACAAGGAGCCAAGGAGGCAGCAAATGCCAGATCAGTGGAGAGAGGAAATAAGCCTCAGTGCATCTCACTCTCATCTGGGGAAGGTGCTGCGGTTTGGTGCACTTCTGAGAGGATCCCCCACTGGCTGGCGTAATGATGACTGGTGAAATCTGACTTCAGTCCAGGTTCACTTTTTTTCACAGGCCACTTCCTCTCCCATCCTTCTTTCTCCTGTCTTCTTCCTACCTCTGTCTCTGGATGTAGAGGGTCATTTCTGTCCTCTCCAGGCCAGCAATCCCGCAATGTGCATATACACGCACACACGCGCATGCATGCACACAAATACACCAATCCCATCATCTGTGTCTGCTCCGTCCCATGGAGCTGGGTCTTGCTACGGGGCCATTGACTGATCTGAGGTACCAAGAGTCTGCATGTGTGACCATAGGGTCAGAGGCCAATGCCATGGCTCTGATCACAGGTATGAGACTAGCAGGAGCCCAGTGAGAGAGATTCCTGTCAGCCCAGTAGAGAAGAAAGTGAGAGATTCAGGGGCAGGCTGGTGTTGGGACACACCACAATGCAGGCACCTGCTCATACACAGGCTTCTCCGCTGGGTCTGACCTGCTTCCTACATGCCTCCACGTGTTCGCTGGCAGTACAGGGCTATTCGCCTCATTCCAGAAACTTCTCAGGACATGCCAAGGGTTGAAAAGACGGAGCTCCCTGCAGGGACGTCAGCTGGTACTTCTCGTCCTGATACAGGGTAATGATCCGGGCCTGAGCACACGCAGCCTGTCCCCTTGATACCCTGGCATGTCCAGCAGCCACAGGAAGTGAGGCCTGAGATTAGTGGTAGCCCTGACTCTTCAGTGA